ATACCTGTTAAATGTGTTGTTTTGCATTTTTTTGCCTGTCCTGGGGCTTGAACTCAGGGCCTGGGCACTGTCCCTGATCCTCTTTTACTAAAAGCTAGCACTCTACTACTTGAGCCACAGTGCCACTTCCAGCTTTTTCTGTGTATGTGGTGCTGAGGAATCGAACCTGGTGCTTCATGCATGCTAGGCAAGCACTCTACCACTGAAACACCTTCCCATGCCCCTGGATTTTTTAAAATCAGATACAGGTGAAGGAAAGATTTCTACAAATTACTTTTGTATGAATATTCAGGTCCTTAATTCCAGGAGTTGGTTTTCCAGTCCAAAGTGAGTTGAGATCCAGATTGGGCCACCGCCCTCATGTCTGCACCACTCCCCTCCCCTCCTGGAGGGGCTCTGCTCTCTGGAGCGTAGGCTCACGCCCTGGCCCATCCCATCCCACGCTCTTAATTATAGGATCTAATATCAAAGGACAGACACCCTACTCCATTTTCCCTCAAGAGTGTGCTGGCGATTCTGCCCCTTTTCCTTGTGGTTTCTTGAGTTACTAACAAAAAGCATGGTTAGGCCCTTGCTGCTCAATTGAATGTACAGATTGGCTTGGAGCAGGGAGAGGGGTATTGTGATTCTTCTTGGAGGTCTTTAATGGAGTTGTATCATTTAATTATACATACACTGCTTTGCATGTATTTCTAAGGACTTAAGAATGTTTGTTCTTTTTTGTTGTTGTTGTTAGCCACAGGGTTTGAACTCAGGGCCTGGGTTCTGTCCGTGAGCTCTTTTGGCTCAAGGCTAATGCTCTACCACTTGAGCCCTAGCGCCACTTCCAGTTTTCTAGTAGTTAATTGGACATACGTGTCTCAAGGATGCCAGGCACTGGTAGCTCAACGCCTAGAATTCTAGCTACTCAGGAGGCTGAGATCTGAGGATCATGGCTCAAAGCCAGCTAAAGTCCATAAGACTTTTTATCACCAAAAAACCAGAAGGTGAACTGTGGCTCAAGTGGGAGAGTGCTACCCTTGAGCACAAAAGTTCAGGTACAGTGCCCAGGACCAACACAAAGAAAAAGAGAGTCTCAGGCTTTCCTACCTGAGCTAGCTTTGAACCATGATCCTCAGATCTCAGCTGCCTCAGTAGCTATTATTTATAGGTGTGAGCTACCAGCACCCTGCAGTATTGCTTTAAGTTGCCTTTTTTCCCCCTTACAACTGTTGCTACTAAGTATGAAGGCAGCAGTGTTGTATCTACATTTTTTTATGTTTTATTGGAATATACATGGAAAGGAACACAGGCCATAAAGTACGGCTTGACAACTTTCACCAACTTTGCACACCCATATAAGCTTCACTCACACCAAGAAACAGAACATTACTGCCTGTAGTCCCAGAATTTAGGCGGCATAGCCAGACCCTGTACATTGTCAGGCACTGGTGGCTCACGCTTGTAATCCTAGCTATTCAGGAGGCTGAGAACTGAGGGTTGAGATTCAAAGCCAGCTGAAGCAGGAAAGTCTGTGAGACTCTTATATCCACCTAACTATCAAAGAACCATAAGTGGAGCTGTGGCTCAAAGTGATAGAGTACTAGCCTTGAGCAAATGAGCTCAGGGACAGCACCCAGGCCTGAGGTCAAGCGCCAAAACCCACCAAAAAAAAAAGAACATTATCTATACCCAAGTGGCACCTCCTTCGCTCAACGTTCCCCAAATGTAATTTCTGACCCCTTCCTCACCCCCCACTCATTCTTTCCACTATCTTTTAGTACATATGGCATTTCATAAATAATAACTTTGCAATTGATAATCTAGGATATTTATGTCCCCCAGAATGTTCTTCTAATGGCTCCCCTCTGCTATAGGCAACCACTGATTTAATCTCTGTTGCTGTTGTAATTGTTGCCCATTCTAGGCCTTGAAGCAAAATCACCAGTATTTGGCCACTTTGCGTAAATATATTTATATGATTTGCCCATGTTGGATGATCTTTATCACATTTCTCCGTGCTAGCCAGTAACCCTTTGTACAGATACACAGTATGTATTCCATTTACCTACTGACTGATTTAAGCATTTTGCTTCCAGTATGGGAAAGTTTTGAATGAAGTATGCGTGGGCATGTGTGCGCAGATCTTTGGGAGGCCAGATGCTTATTTCACAGGACTTTCCTGCCTGGGCTGGCTTTGAACCTCAATTCTCAGATCTCAGCCTCCTGAGTAGCTAGGATGACAGGCGTGAGCCCTGGCCTTTTTTTTTGGGGGGGGGGGGGTCCGGTCGTGGGGCCTGAACTCTGGGCCTGGGCACTGTCCCTCAGCTCTTCAGCTCAAGGCTAGCGCTCTACCACTTGAGCCACAGCACCACTTCCGGCTTTTTTCTTTTTGCTTATGTGGTGCTGAGGAATTGAACCCAGAGCTTCATGCATGCAAGGCAAGCGCTCTCCCACTGAGCCACCTTCCCAGTCTCCCCCTCTTTTTTTTTAAGACAGAGTCTTACTACTGCCACCTAGCCTGACCTGGATCACAAAATCCTCCTGCCTACACTTCCCACATGCTCGAATTACAAGTATTCTGTGCCACCACGTCCAGCACCGTCTCTTGGGATGGGCAGAAGTCCTTGTTTAATTTTGGTGAAATCCCTTTTATCAGTTCTTCTAACTACTGATTTCTATATTTATGATTTTTTTTTCTTTTTTTTTTTTTTTTTTTTGTCGGTTGTGTGGCTTGAACTCTGGGCCTGGGCGCTGTCCCTCAGCTCTTCAGCTCAAGGCTAGCGCTCTACCACTTGAGTCACAGCACCACTTCCGGCTTTTTTCTTTTTTGCTTATGTGGTGCTGAGGAATGGAACCCAGGGCCTCATGCATGCAAGGCAAGCGCTCTACCACTGAGCCAACTTCCCAGCCCGTGAAGCAGTTTTCTTAATGCCCAGTATCATGTAATAATAGCAGTTTTGTTTCTTCCCTTCCGTACATTATAGCATTTTGTTTTCTTGTCTTCATGCAATGGCTAGGGCCGTTGGCTTAGCATTGCCTAAGCAGCCAGTGGCAGGCATTCTTTTTTTGTTCCTGATTGTTGACAGGAAATTATCTCAACGTTTCCTGTTTATGGTGTTTGTAGGATGTTTCATACATACCCTATTTCAAGTTAAGGAAGTTCCCCTTTTCTACTTTGAAAAGAGTTTTTTGTCATGAAGGGATAGTTCTCTGTGACCTTTTTTTTTTTTTTTTTCTCATTTTGGGGGCCTGAACTCTAGGCCTGGGTGCTGTCCTTCAGCTCTTTAGCTCAGGGCTAGTGCTCTACCACTTGAGCCACAGCACCACTTTCGGCTTTTTCTGCTTATGTGGTGCTGAGGAATGGAACCCAGGGCCTCAGGCATGCAAGGCAAACGCTCTACCACTGAGCCACCTTCCCAGCCCCATTCTGTAATCTTTTATCTACTTTTTTTGTAGTGGTAGGGCTTGAACTCAAGGCCTCAAGCTCATGCTTGGCTTTTCACTCAATTCTAATGAAACATAGCTCCACTTTAAGCTTGTTGTTGGTTAGTTCTGGATGAGTCTCACAATTTATCTGCCTAAGCTGGCTTCAAACCTCAAGCCTCAGGGGCTGGGAAGGTAGCTCAGTGGTAGAGTGCCAGAAGTGGTGCTGTGGCTCAAGTGGTAGAGCACTAGCCTTGAACTGAAGAGCTGAGGGACAGTGCCCAGGCCCACAGTTCAGGCCCCATGACCAACAACAACAACAAAACTCAAGCCTCAGGGCTGGGAAGGTGGCTCAGTGGTAGAGTGCTTGCCTTGCATGCCTGAGGCCCTGGGTTCCATTCCTCAGCACCACATAAGCAGAAAAAGCTGGAAGTGGTGCTGTAGAGCGCTAGCCTTGAGCTAAAGAGCTGAGGGACAGCACCCAGGCCCAGAGTTCAAGCCCCACTATAGACAAAAAAAAAAAAACTCAAGCCTCAGATCTCACCCTCCTGAGTAGCTAGGATTATAGGCATGAGCCAGAGTGCCCGGCTTCATTGCACGATTTTGTTGGCTACTGTTTTCTACAGGATTTCTGTGTCTGCATGTATGTGCATAAATGAGAGACTGAGCGGTTTTCCCACATGCCTTCCTCATTGTGTTTTAGTAGCAAGATTCTGCACACTCCTTTCTTGTGTCTGCTTCCAACTGGAATTCTCTCTTCCTTGATTTTTGCATGCTCTCCATGCCAAGGATTGCTTTAGTGGCCATTGCCCCACTCAAGTCCCTTAATCCATTCTTATAGGCTTTTTTTTAGAGGAATTAGTCCAACCTTTGACAGTCATAGAGTAAAGATGTTTGTAGAGAGCTCCTCTGCATTTCCAGGGTGTGCTTTGTACCACTTTATTCCCAGTATCTTCCTGAACTAGCCTTGAGCTGAAGAGCTGAGGGACAGTGCCCAGGCCCAGAATTCAGGCCCCACAACTGACAGAAAAATAAATAAATAACACCATGTCACAGGTTTGTCTGACTTTATTAGTCTTTTTCAGACACCAACTTCTGGCTTTGTTAGTCTTTTTTTCTCTTTTTAATGTTCCATTCTGTGTACCAGGTAGGCTTCAAATTCCTCCTGTCTAAGCCACCAAGTACTATGATTATAGCCATGTACTGCCATACCTGCCCTGCTGTTCTTTCTTCAGCTTCATCCAGTAGATGAGTGATTGTTACTTTTGACCCATTCTTTTGCTCATGTGAGATTTAAGACCAAATCTCACTAGTTTTGATATGTGGTGGTCCTATCATTATTCAGTTCTAATTCATTTAAGTTTCCAGGCTTTCTTCTTGAATGCAGGAGACACATGTATACAACGTGGATCACAAGTACAGGGATGGGGCAGGCCGGGATCTCAGGGTTCCTCTGCTGATGGATGAGAACCAGGCAGATGCGCATAATTATAGCTGAGTAGTGACCTTGAATGGATGTGCAGATCACCAGTGGTAGGAGATGATCTTAGTCATGTGCTAGTTTCTTACCAACACACCTCTTTCCTTTGCCACAGGGTGATCTGGCCAAGAAGAAGATTTACCCTACCATCTGGTAAGTGTACCCTCCCACTGCCCATCTGGTCTCCCTGTGATCTTGTCCTCCCCAGCTTGGCTATAGGTGTATTCTGTCCTCAGGTGGCTGTTTCGAGATGGCCTCCTGCCAGAAGACACCTTCATCGTGGGCTTTGCCCGCTCTTCCCTCACAGTGGATGACATCCGCAAGCAGAGTGAACCCTTCTTCAAAGTACGTGGTTTGGGGATGTCATCCAGCCTTGTTCTGTCTTCTTCCCTAGCCCCTAGGCAGGTGACCCACTAAAGGGTATGCCCTTCCATCCCTCCCTTCTCCCTTGACTCACACAGGCAGGGCCGCCTGGAGACTCCAGGCCCAGTGCCTCTCTCCTCACCTCCCCAAAGCCACTACTCTGCAGCCACCCAAAAGTCCTCACTGCTTCCTCCATGACAAGAGGACCTCTAGGCAAGGGGAGCTGAAGGGGTCTCTTTCCCAAGATCTCCTATTCCAACCCAGACTTCCTAGCCTCATCCTGCTTTGCTCTGGGCCACATTGGAATTGGCCAAGAGCTAGAAAAAGATCAGTCCACAGGGGCTTCTTCCAAGACAGTGGGAAATGCTACTAGTTGGCATTTCTTAGCAAGTTTGTGTGGTGATTTTGGAGAGAGTTATTTCCCATTGTCTTCGCCCAGGTCCATTTTCCCTGAAGCCTGAAATATAGTCTTAGGGCCCTAGAGGTTCAGGGGTGCCCAGGCCCTGCCTAAGGACTTTGCATCACCCGCGTTCATGCCGCCTGCCTCTGTCCTCTCTCTATGGATGTGCAAAGCTCACAAGATGGAGTGAACCTTCGTCCAGTGGGGCCAGGATAGCTGACTTCTAAGGGAGAGACCTCCATGGACCAACAAGAGAAAAACGTTCATAAATAAGAACTTTCAGTCCCTGGGGCAGAAAAAAACATGGACTCTGAAGAAGCAGAAGTGAGGTATTGACATATGCCTGTCTAATTATCCATATCTCCCAGGCCACTCCAGAAGAGAGGCCCAAGCTAGAAGAATTCTTTGCCCGCAACTCCTACGTATCTGGCCAATACAATGACCCAGCCTCCTACCAGGACCTCAATAGCCACATCAATGCTCTCCACCCGGGGTCACAGGCCAATCGCCTCTTCTACCTGGCCTTGCCTCCTACGGTCTATGAAGCTGTCACCAAGAACATCAGTGAGACCTGCATGAGCCAGACGTAAGGCTTGTCCTCTCTTCCTTCCTGCCTCCTCTGTTTGCTCTGCCTTGGTCTGATCTGCCAGGGTGAGGGAGGGCTACCCTTGGCTACTGTGCACACCCTCCAGGGTCAGCCAGTCTAAGCTGTCTGAAAATGCAGATAACCCTTGTTTGTACTATAAATTAGTTAGCTCTCCAAACAAGAAAATAAGCTGTAACTGGCGATTTTCAAATAGTCTTTACTAAAAATGCTGCTACTATGTATAATTTGGGCTCAAATGCCTCAAACCGAAATCCTTTGGCCACAATTTCTTCCAAGCCCACAAGATGGCAGTGTTGCTCCACCAAACTGCTATTACCCCACTCTTGACATTTGTATTTTCCCTGTGTCTCTACCACGCCCACAAGGTGGCAGTTTTGCTCCATGAGAAATCACTGCTTGCTAGCAGCCATTTCTTGCCTGTTTTCTTTTGTTTCCTTTTGTTTCCTGTGGAGATTTTTTATGGGTTTTTTTTTTGTTTGTTTGTTTGGGGGCAGGTCCTGGGTCTTGAACTCAGGGCCTGGGAGCTGTTCCTGAGCTTTTTTACTCCAGGCCAGCATTCTACCACTTGAGCCACAGTTGCACTTCTAACTTTTTTAGGTAGTTGGTTGAAGATACGAAACTTTGTGCCTGGGTTGGCTTTGAACTGCAATCCTTACATCTCAGCCTCCTAAGTAGCTAGGATCACAGGCATGAGCCCCTACCACCAGCCATTTCCAGTGTTTGGGTGGTTAATTGAGGGTAAGAGTCTCATGGACTTTCCTGCCCTAGCTGACATTAAAGTTCTATCCTTAGATCTCAGCCTACTGAGTAAATAGGATTATAAGCATGAGTCACTGGTGCCCAGCCTCTTCTCCTTTTGAAACTAATGAAGGTGCTACAGTCAAATGGTAAAGAGACTGCTTAGCAAGTGATACCCTAAATTCAAACCCCAGTACTACATCTTCCCCCCCCAAAAAAAAAAAAAAGAATTGGGAATCGAATGTAGTGACCTGTGCCTATAAATCTCAACTACTCAAGAGGCTGAGGCAGAGCGTGGACATGGTAGTGCATTCTTACAATCCAGCATTCAGAGGCTGAGGCAGAAGGATGGTAAGTTCCAAGCCAGCCTAGACTACACAGAGAGGCCCTGCCTCAAAAAGAAAAAAAAAATGGGAAGATTCCTTAAGCTTGAGAATTCCAAGCCAACCTAAGCACCATACTGATAACTTGTCTCAAAAAAATAAATAAATAGACCACTGGGGGGAGCTAGCTGTTCACTGATTGCTGAGCAGCCCAGTGAGGACCTGACCTGGGGCTGGAGGGACATGGGCCTCTGAGAAAGGTAGCAGTCCATTGTAGCATGCAGGACAGGCAGGTCTTGGAGTGGTTCCCCTCCCAAGCAGGTTGAGTCAAGAAGGACTTGGGGGGACAGAAGGTATCCATGGGTGTGAGGGGCTCTGTGGAAAGGCAAGGAGACAATGTTGATGCTCCAGGGGGGAGAGAGTTGGGGTCACAAGGCTTTGGGTCCTGCTGCTGGAGTAGGAGTTTGAAGGAACTGGCTGGGGGCTCCCCACAGAGGTTGGAACCGCATCATTGTGGAAAAGCCGTTCGGGAGAGACCTGCAGAGCTCTGACCAGCTGTCCAACCACATCTCGTCCCTGTTCCGTGAGGACCAGATCTACCGCATCGACCACTACCTGGGCAAGGAGATGGTGCAGAACCTCATGGTGCTGAGGTAGGGGCTGAGCCCCCCCACCCACGTGGGGCTGGAGTGGGGCTCAAGGGGGAGCCACCTCCCTCGCGCTCACCTCTGTCTGTGCCCCACACAGATTTGCCAACAGAATTTTTGGCCCTATCTGGAACCGGGACAACATTGCCTGCGTGATCCTCACCTTCAAAGAGCCCTTTGGCACTGAGGGCCGGGGGGGCTACTTCGATGAATTTGGAATCATCAGGTGAGAGAGGAGCATGCGCCCAGCCCTGCGCCCCCCCCCCATTCTGAGCACACTCTGGTGTCCTCCGTGTGAGGGGTGTGGAAGCACTCCTGCCAGCTTGTCACTAGAAGCCTTGTTTGGGGATGTTGGGCCTCCTGGCATGTGGCTAGCAGGAAGGGAGGCAAAGGTGAGGGCCCCCCCCCCCCGTCTTCCTGGCCGGCCTCAGCCTTCTCCTCCACCAGGGACGTGATGCAGAACCACCTGCTGCAGATGCTGTGTCTGGTGGCCATGGAGAAGCCCGCTTCCACCGATTCGGATGATGTCCGGGATGAGAAGGTAGGAGGGGGGCAGGCGCTGCCAGCCACGGCCCCCACCCTGCACCTGCCCTGTCACCCAGGCTCCTGCTCTTCCCCCCCTGCCCCGGCTTTGCCGCAGGTCAAGGTGTTGAAGTGTATCTCTGAGGTGAAGGCTGACAACGTGGTCCTGGGCCAGTACGTGGGGAATCCCAGCGCAGAAGGAGAAGCCGCCAAAGGCTACCTCGACGACCCCACCGTGCCTCTCGGCTCTACCACCGCCACCTTCGCTGCTGTCGTTCTCTATGTGGAGAATGAGCGGTGGGATGGTAGGTGTGCGTCCTCTTTATATGCCCCCTCCCTACACACACCACATACACCACCACTCAAGCACTTGCACATGGCCCGGGCCTGTGCAAAACCCAAGCCCTGAGGCCAGCCCACTCCTCCCCCGCAGGGGTGCCCTTCATCCTTCGTTGCGGCAAAGCTCTGAATGAGCGCAAGGCAGAGGTGAGGCTGCAGTTCCACGACGTGGCGGGTGACATCTTCCACCAGCAGTGCAAGCGCAACGAGCTGGTCATCCGCGTGCAACCCAACGAGGCCGTGTACACCAAGATGATGACCAAGAAGCCCGGCATGTTCTTCAACCCCGAGGAGTCGGAGCTGGACCTGACCTATGGCAACAGATACAAGGTGCCCACTGAGAGGGCGAGCCGGGGAGGGGGCTGTTGCATGCATGCTGTTGCACATGCAGTGAGGGGCTGTTGCATACCCGTGGTGGCAGCGAGCCCTTCCCCCTGCAGAACGTCAAGCTCCCTGATGCCTATGAGCGCCTCATCCTGGACGTCTTCTGTGGCAGCCAGATGCACTTTGTGCGCAGGTGAGGGTGCCCAGCGATCTTCCCCCAGACATCTGGGGGGGGGGCAGGCAAGAGAGTGCTCTCCCCTCCCCCGCTATGCGCAACACTGCTCCCCACAAGCCACCCCATGTCCCCTCAGCGACGAGCTCCGGGAGGCCTGGAGGATCTTCACTCCCCTACTGCACAAGATTGACAGCGAGAAGCCGCAGCCCATCCCCTATGTGTATGGGAGGTAAGGGAAGGATAGGCGGTGGGGGGGCATGGAAGGGGGGACCCCCACAAGCGAGGATCCTTCATGTTTCCTTCCCTGGGCCTATCTTGTCTTGCTTCCAGCCGCGGCCCCACAGAGGCAGACGACTTGATGAAGAGAGTAGGCTTCCACTATGAGGGTACCTACAAGTGGGTGAACCCCCACAAGCTCTGAGCCCTGGACACCACCCCACCCCACCCGCGCTCCCCTCAGCCACACTGTGTCTGTCCTTCCTGCCACTGACCCCACATTGGGAAGACTTTGGGACCATTGGCCTGAGCCTCACATTCCTGCCCTGGGCTCCGGCCACCACTGTGCCCCTCTCTGCTGCTGCTGCCACGGAAGCCCCACTGCACTCCTCCAGAGCCAAGCGCCAGCCTCGCCGGGATGCGCGGGACTCCCGCAAGCCCTAGCTGAGCCACCTACCTCCCAGTCACCCCAGCCCCCCTCATTCCGGCCCCCACAGAAGACCCCCCGCAGAAGGAAGAGCGGCAGCCTGAGCTGAGGGACTGTGGGGAGGGGGCCGGGGCAAAGCACTCCCCAGTGCCCATTGGCCCGTGCCTCACAACGCACAAGTGTACCAGCGGAGCCACGCTGCCCGGTGCACGCAACATTCCTGGCGAGCAGCTGGACGGGATGCCGTGCTGCCTAACGGTGTCTTAGCCCCAGACAGCTGCTCCCCACAAACTCTACTCCACGCCCTCCCTCACTCCACCCATGGGCAGCCTCCCTTCCGCACACAACGCAGAAGCAGTAGCTATGGCCCCTACCTCAACCCTCGCCATTAAATCCTTCAGCAGCCCGCCTGTCCCCTTGTCCTTACCCCCCACCGCCACCCAACAACACGGGCGGCAGGCCCATCACGTCCTGTGCCCCTCCACTCCCCCTCACTGGACACCCACCACGGTGCTACACCCCACTGGCTTGGGCTTGCCCCCCCCCCCCAAGGCTCAAGCCTGTCCCTGCCACTCACTGCTGCACCCCATGGATGTCCATCAAGACCAGCTTGCTGAGCAAGGACAGGCCAGCCTGCCTCATGTTCCACATGAACACCTCAACACTGTTGCTGTCCATGCACACTGGCCAGCCTCCCCCTCCCCGGACCCCACATCCCCGGCTGCTGCCCTCCACCACGCCAAGACAGGCAGGACATGGATGGGCTTGCTGAATGACCTCATAGCCCACGTTCAAGAGGGACATAGGTCAAAGCAATGCCAGGCTCTACGGCCTGAGCAGCAGCTGAGAGCTATTAGGAATGTAGTTAGGCGGAATAGCCAGGCACTGGCGGCTCACGCCTATAAATCCTAGCTACTCAGGAGGCTGAGATCTGAGGATTGTGGTTCAAAGCCAGCCCAGGCAGGAAAGTCCATGAGACTTCTCTCCAATGAACCACCAGAAAACCGGAAGTGGTACTGTGGCTCAAAGTGGTAGAGAGCTCACCTTGAGCTGAAGGGCTGAGGGACAGCGCCCAGGCCCACAGTTCAAGCCCCATGACCGACAAAAAAAAGTTGGATGCACCTCAGAACTGTGAAGCCCAAGCCCAGCATCTTGTGGCACTTGAGGTCAGCAACGCAAAATGGAGGTGGATGCAAGGCTGGCACCCCCAGGTAGGCTCTAGAGCAAGGCCTCCTTACCTCAAGCATTTGTTGGCTTGTAGCTGTGTGGCTCCAACCTCTCTCTGCACATTCAGAAGATCTCTCTCCTTCCTGTTGTGTAGGAATGGAGTCCACTTTACCCCATATAATCTAAGTTCAACTACAATTGCACACAGCCGTTTCCAAGTAAGTTTATGTCTTGAGGCATAAGGTGAATATAAATTTGTTTCCACCTGCTGCCTGGCCCTGCCCTGGCATTGGGCTGTCCCGGGCTGAGCACTGAGAAGGGGTGAGAGGTGCCCCTGTGATCCCTGTGCTCACGGCCTATGTTCTACACATGACACTCCAACTGGAGACAACAATCAGGGCAGAATGTTTATGTTTAGAGTGCCCAGAAAATGGCCTGGTGTAGAGCAGCATGTGCCTGGCAAAGGGGAGATGTTTGAGGCCAGAGGCTCAGCCCTGTGTCCCCACCCCTATCCTCCCATCACCCTTGGTAGTTGTGTGCAGCTGCTGGGTATGGCCCCCGATTCTGGATTCCAGCAGTCCTGTCCCAGCCTCTCACATAGCTAGTATGGAAGGCATGTGGCACCACGCCCAGCTCTGCAGGGCTTTATCTGTGTCACCCCTCATCCCCTGCAGTCAGGGCTGAGGGCTGGGCCATGGGGCCTTCCATCCAGCGCAGCTCAGCCCTCTCTACTTTCCAAGGGACATCGGGTGGACCCAGCAGGAATGGCCAGAAGTGAGACCATCAGGGGTGGAGCCCAGCAAGTGAGGGCAGTCGCCAGTGCTCAGTACCCCCTCCACAGTTGCTCAGTGTACACCTCGTGAATGTCACTAGGTCTACTGTGCTAGCCAGCACGCGTCGTCTTTCTCTTTATTTGAACTTTGCAATGTGGCTGCCAAGTGGCTTCCATGAGCAGACTAGGCTTTGCCCAAGACCAGAGATGACAGAATCAAGCACAGCAGCCCCTGAAAATATGTCCATGCCCTTCCTCCCACCTCCTTGCCGCGGACCACGAGGGGGTGCTGTGACCCTGAGGTTTACAAACATTTTTACATTTTCACACCCTGTTTGGCTGTGCTATGTCCTCAGAGCCTCAGATCTGCACCTGGGGATGGCATTGAGCCATCAGAAAAGAAAACCAAAGGCCCACCGGGCGCTGGTGGTTCAGACCTGTGATCCTAACTACTGTGGAGGCTGAAATCAGGATTGTGATTCAAAGCCAGCCTGGGCAAGAAAGTCCATGAGACTTATCTCCAATAAATCACTCAGAAAAAGTCAAGAGTGATGCTGTGGCTCAAGTGATAGAGCGTTGGCCTTGAGCACAAACAGACTCGGACAGCACCCAGGCTCTGAGTTCAAGCCCCAGGACTGTCAAAAAAAAAGACCCAAGGGCCTGTCCTGATTTCCCCCTAACAAAGCCCTTAGGAACACACCAACTTCACAAACTACAAAGGATCTAGCAGAGCTGCATGCTGGGCACCTGCTGGTATAGCATTGCTGAGGTGTGGGCTCCTAAGCATGGGGACCTGAAAGTGGAAAAGGGATGCCTACATGATGCCCCCAACACACTAGGTAGGAGAAAGGGCGGGACCCACCTTTTGATGTGATCCAGGACAGAGGCCGGAGAGCTGTAGTGAGAACACCCAATTGTCACCTTGTTTCTGGGAGTCCATGACAGTCCTGCCAACAACAGTGAACATTCATATCAGCTCAGCTGCCAACATTGAACAAAGAGTTGGAGGCCTAGTTGAGAACCAACAATTCCTCTTGGTTGTGGGTGCCTGTATTGGGACCAGGAAAGCAAAGTCGACTGAAAAGCACCATTATTAATGTTTATATTAGAAAGGACAATGAGGATACCAGGTATACTAATGTATACTTTAACCTCAGGCACTTAGGTAGAGAGAGTGAGAGGAATATGGTTGGTGACTAGGCTGACCCCACTAAGCAAGACCCCACCAAGCTGGACATACACAACTATATTCCCAATAGTTTATTTGGGAGGCACAGCTGGGAGGATGATTTTTGGAGGCTGGTGCCACTTGAGAATGCTAGACCCTATCTACAAAATAACTGAAAAGCCAAGCACTGGTGGCTCATTCCTGTAATCCTAGCTACCCAGGAGACTGAGGTCTGAGGTGGTTCAAAGCCAACCCAGGAAGGAAAGTTCATGAGGCTCTTATCTCCAATAAACCACCAAAAAAAAGTGGAATTGTGGCTCAAGGTGGTACAGTACTAACCTGGAGCAAAAGAGCTGAAGACCAGCACCCAGGCCCTGAGCTCAAGCCCCATGACCAATAAAAACAACTGAAACGTTGCACATGAGACACCATTTAGTCACTTTGACTGTCACCTCATCACTGGATCATTAAACTTAGACGTGTAAAGTACCAGGTGGGTGGAATCAACTGGCCTCTCAGCTGAGTTTTTCCAGTATGACAGGTGAGGCCACTCAACTGTTACCTCAGCTCAGTGCCTACATGAAGGCAGAGAAAGGAGAGTCACAGGCCCCAACCTTTCCACTCCAGGTATGCACTACCTGGGCAAAATCAAAACATGTCTCCATGCAAAAACATATTTATAACAGCATTATTCATAATGCTCAAATATATAAACAACTTTTCATCAAAATGGGTGGGTAAATGGAGTTCTGGGAAAGTGGTTCAGAGTACACTGCTTGCCTGGATTCCCTCCCCAGCACACACACACACAAAAAGAATGATAAACTAACTTGAAGTAACAAACAACTGGTCCAGGCTACATGGATTAACCTTGAAAATATTATGCCAAGTGAAAGAATCTGAGTACAAAAGGCCCCATAGTATATGATTCCTTTTATCTGAAATGTCCAGAATAGCAACAGAGTTTTTTTTTGGTTTTTTTTTTTTTTTTTGCTAGTCGTGGGGCCTGAACTCTGGGTCTGGGCGCTGTCCCTCAGCTCTTCAGCTCAAGGCTAGCGCTCTACCACTTGATTCACAGTACCACTTCTGGCTTTTTCTGCATATGTGGTAATGAGGAATCAAACCCAGAGCTTCATGCATGCAAGGCAAGCACTCTACCACTGAGCCACCTTCCCAGCCCCATTCTTTTTTTAATATAATTTCATTGTAATTATTAAGGTGTTGTACAGAGGGGTTACCATTTCACAATTCAGGTAATGTGTATGAAGACTGCTTTGTTGATTCGTGAGGTAGAAACTTGCTATGTAGCCCAAACTAGCCTTAAACTCAAAATCCTTGCTGGGATCTTGAGCTGGTGGCTCATGCCTATAATCATAGCTACTCAGGAGGCTGAGGTCTACAGGACTGTGTTTTGAAGCCAACCTGAGCAAGAAAGTCCATGAGACTCTTATCTCCAATTAACTACCAGAAAACCAGTGGAGCTGTGGCTCAAAGTGGTAGAACACTAGCTTTGAGCAGAAAAAGCTCAGGGACAGGGTGCAGGCCCTGAGTTCAAGCCCCATGACAGTCAAGGAAAAAAAAAAAAAAACACTTCAAGATCTTCCTGCCTCAGCCCGCCCCTCCCCCACCCTCCACCAGTACTAGGATTACCAGCTCCCACCATACCCAGCCAAAAATGAATTTTATAGTTGGTGATACCAAATTCTCAACAAAACTTGGTTCTTTCTTCCTCTTAGAATCTTGGACTCAATAACAAAACTGAGAGCCAAGCCAGGCTCCGGTAGCTCACACCTGTAATCCTAGCTAATCCAGACGCTGAGCTCTGAGGATCATGGTTCAAAACCAGCATTGACAGACAAAACCAAGAGATTCTTACCTTGAACTAAACCAACAGAAAGCAGAAAGTAGTGGTATGGTTCAAGTGGTAGAGTCCCAGCATTGAACTAAAAAGCTAAGTAAGACCTCACACTGTCCGAGTTCAAGCACTAATTCTGACAGGAAGGGAGGGAGGAAGGGAGGGAAGACGGAAGGAAGACAAAGAAAGGAAGAAGGAAAAGAAAAGAAAACCACACATTGAAAGCCAGTGTGGGGGCTGGGAAGGTGGCTCAGTGGTAGAGCGCTTGCCTTGCATGCATGAGGCCCTGGGTTCAATTCCTCAGCACCACATAAGCAAAAAGAAAAAAGCCGGAAGTGGTGCTGTGGCTCAAGTGGTAGAGCGCTAGCCTTGAGCTGAAGAGCTGAGGGACAGTGCCCAAGCCCAGAGTTCACGCCCCACGACTGGACCCAAAAAAAAAAAAAAGAAAGCCAGTGTGGTAGTACATGCCAGCACTGTGGGGGCCGGGGCTGGGGTAAGCGGTTGAAGACTTCTGGCCAACCTGGGCTACAAAGCAATGAATGGTTACATACAAGATAGTTCACACTGCTGTTATCTCTTACTTTTGCCAATCCTGGGGCTTGAACTCAGGGCCTGGCACTGTCCTGAGCCTCTTTGTGCTCAAGGCTAGCGCTCTACACTTGAGCTACAGCACCACTTCTGACTTTTTCTGAATACTCTATTGTAGATAAGAGTCTCACAGACTTTCCTGCCTGGGCTGGCTTTGAACCACAATCCTCAGATCTCAGCCTCCTGGTTAGCTAGGATTATAGGCATGAACCAGTGACACCCAGCTTGTTCAGGGACTTTTTTTTTTGTCTGTGACAGTCCTGGGACTTGAACTCAAGGCCTGGGCAATTTCTCTAAGCTTTTGTGTTCAAGGCTAGTGCTCCAGCTCCACAGCTCCACTTCCAGCATTTTTGGTGGTTAATAGAGATGAGAATCTCACAGAATTTCCTGCTCAGGCTGCCTTTGAACTACAATGCTCAGCTCTCAGCCTACTGACTAGCTAGCATCACAGGTGTGAGCCACCAGCACCTGGCTCATTTAACTTTATTGGTCATGTCTGGCACTCTACAACTTGCACCACACCTCCAGTGCAGCATTTTGCTAGTTAATTGGAGATGAAGTCTGCCTAGGCTGGCTTTAAACTGTGATCCTCATATCTCAGCCTCCTGAGTAGCTAGGGTTACAGGTGTGAGTCACCAGCGCCAGGTGGGTCATACAATTTTTCTTAGGCTGGCCTCAAACCTCATTCCTCTTATCTGTGCTCCCAAGTAGATGAGATTATACGCATGAGCGACCACAGCTTTCCCCTGCATCTGGTTGTATAGCAGCCGAGGTCCCAGATATCTGTGTAGCTGGGCAAATGTCTTATCTGAAACATGACACTGGCTAGCAAAAAGGATTGTGTTTCGGTGTGAGAGTGTATTTCCTGGTAACACTGGGTCTTTGGGTCTTCACTGTGAAGGCTTCCATGGCTTATAAAAGTATAACAAAACAAACTGGTTATGCTTTTCCCGTATTAACCTGCCTTTAATAGTTTACTGATACTAGGATTAGAACTCAGGGCCTCAAGATTGTGCTACTTATTTTCACTCAACCCCTTCAGCCACACTTCCAAGCTCAGCTTTTTTTTTTCTGGTTGTTTTGGAGATGGTATCTCTCCAACTTTTATGCCCAGGCTGGATTGAAACCATGATTCTCTGATTCTCAGCCTTCTGAGTTACTACGGTTACAGGCATGAGCCACCTGTATCTGGCTAACATGTTTTAGTAAAGGGGTTTCTGTCATGACCATTTATGATCGCAGTTAGAGGCCACGGGGGGGGGGGGGGGGGGGGGGGAGGAGCTGGGTGTGGTAGTACAAACTTGCCATCCCAGTAGGAAAGTCACAGTCCAGGGCAAAAAATACAAGACCCTACCTGAAAAATTAGTAAAGGAAAAACAAAATGATTAAAGATCCTTAAACCAAGTTGTTGTAATTTTATCCTTAGGCACAGAAGATAACTAACTCGGAGCAAAAAAAATAAAAAGGAATCAATATCTAGCAATATAATAGTAGAAAGCACAGAAAACCAAGGACAAAACATGTTCAAAGCAGCCAGGGGGGAATAAAGACAAACTAGCTCCAAAAAGTGAGCAATGAACTCTGCAGCAACAGTCAACAGACATTGAAAAAGAATCTTTGACACCCTGGAAGGAAATAACTTCCAATCTATAATCCTACTCTTCAATGAAAATGAGAACAAAACAAAACATTTTTGGTGGTGGCGCTATCCTCAGCCCTGAAAATATCTTTCAAGCATGAACAGGAAGTACATATAGAAGCAAAGAATTTACCACTCTCTCTGTTTTTTGTCTTTTTTTAGGTCTGCGACCAGGACTGAAATTTAGTACCTGACGCTTTTGTTCATTGGCTAGTGCTCTACCAACTGAGCCATGCCTCCAACCCAAAATTTGCTACTCTCACTAAAAAAAACGCAACAAGCACAGAAGAAAGCTGTGAGCTGCTACTGGATGGATAAAACAAATATGGGAAGGAACAAAAAGCAATTCTGTGGGTACATATAAATGAACATTGGACAACACTGTATTGTAAACAAGGTTTAATGGAAACTGATTGTTACTCTGCATGCATGGGGGAGGTGAAGGTGTGTGTGTGTGTGTGTGTGTGTGTGTGTGTGTGTGTGTGTGCTGGGACTTGAACTCAGGGCCTCACTTTTTCACTCAAAGCTGGTGATCTAGAGACAGCAAGAGAAGGAGTGATTGTATCCAAAAAGAAATGGACTCATTACCTGGCTTATGGAACTGCAACCCCTCTGTATATCATCTTTATAATAATAATTTAAAAGAGCTGGTGATTTACTGCTTGAGTCACACCTCCACTTTCGGCTTTTTGATGGATTGCAAAGCATCTCTGAAACTATTAAAGCACAATTATGAATGGATGTGTATATGAGGTGTTTCCAGCAATGACTGAGTTAGGGGGGAATAATTGCTCCGCATATGAGTGACACTATCAGCAGGACGCTAGAATAGAATAAAAGGGGGTTCTGATTCCCAGCACCACAAACCATGGTGAAAATTGGTTACGTTTATGTCCTGGTGAACAGTAACGTGTCGGTGTATGGTTCCTAGTTGTAAGTGCAATGCGGGTATTTGCAATGTCACTTGTGGGCAGAGGAAACAGGACTATCAGTACTACTTTTGCATCATTTTGTTGTTTTTATTATTTCTTTACAGTAGGACTGAGTATTGAACTCATTTGCTAGGCTGGCATTCTATCACTTGAGCCACAGCTCCAGCTGGTTGTTGTTGTTGTAGTTGGTTATTTTTCAGATAGTTTTGACTTTTTTTTTTTATTTGTCTGGCCTCAAACCTTGAATTTTCAGCTCTTAGACTCCAGAATAGCTGGGATTACAGATATGAGCCACTGGTGCCTGACTACTACTTACTTCTTTCCTTCCTTCTTCCTTCTTTCTTTCCTTCTTTCCTTCCTTCCTTCCTTTCTTTTTTTGTCAGTCATGGGGCTTGAACTCTAGGCACTCTACCACTTGAGCCACAGTGCCACTTGGTGTTTTCTAGTGGTTAACTGGAGATAAGAGTCTCATAGACTTTCCTGCCTGGGCTGGCTTTGAACCACGATCCTCAGATCTCAGCCTCCTGAGTATCAAGGATTCGAGGCATGAGCCACTGATGCCCGGCTCATTACTTCTTTTCTACTGTTGCTTTAAGACAGTATCTCTACACGCTAGCCACAAATTCTCCACCTGCTTGCTTCAGCCTCCTGAGTACCATGGTTACAAGTATACATCATGATTCCTATCTTTAAAAAAAAAACCAACTGGGCTGGGAAGGTGGCTCAGTGGTAGAGTGCTTGCCTTGCATGCATGAGGCCCTCGGTTTGATTCCTCAGCACCACCTAAGCAGAAAAAAACTGGATGTGGTGCTGTGGCTTAAGAGGTAGAGTGCTAGCCTTGAGCTGAAGAGCTGCGGGACAGCGCCCAGGCCCAGAGTTCAAGCCCCACAACAGACAAAAATAAATAACTCTTGTTTTCACATAATTACAACCTTTTAAGAACTTTGTAGGCTTAAACAGGAGAACCACAAGGTAGACATTCTCTAATAAAATTGTTTTAAGGAATTGGGACATTGCAGGTAAATCTAAAAATACCTTTGGTCCCTATTATTGATTTCACTCATTCCTCTGTGCCTCTCTCTACAAGTTACTGTTGCTACGAGGTTAGTGTATATCATTGCAGAACTGTTTATAGTCTATGGACACACACAGAGGGTGATGGCAGTTGGATATAGTATTCAAGTATGAACATATTTTGAAACACATTATAATAAAGAAAGAAAAAGAAAAGGACATGATTGCAGTGAGGGGAATACACAGCCTGTCTGGGCCCTGAATTCAAGTTTCCATGCACACACTTGTACATTCCAGAGAAAAGTCAGAGATGGACTTTTAAGATACAGAAGACCTTGAGCCAAATCTCAGGCTTCTCGCCTAGACCGTCACAGGTGCGATGACCCTGGGGAGGAGGAGTTGCCTCTGGCCCTCAGGAGAATTCATTAAATCAACCTTTCTTGTGTGCTCTGAGCACAGTGTAAACATTGTCATGTGAGAACCACCAGTCTTGTGTGTGTGTTTTTTAAATTTTTTTTTTTTTTTGGGTCCAGTTGTGAGGCCTGAATTCTGGGCCTGGGCGCTGTCCCTCAGCTCTTCAGCTCAAGGCTAGCACTCTACTACTTGAGCCACAGCGCCACTTCCAGCTTTTTTCTTTTGTGCTTATGTGGTGCTGAGGAATCGAACCCAGGGCCTCAGGCATGCAAGGCAAGTGCTCTACCACTGAGCCACCTTCCCAGCCCCTTTTATTAAAATTTTGTATGCTCTTCTTCCACGCTATAACCCCTGTTTTCACTGTATTTGATTCTGGTGCCCTGCATCTTATATATACATTTTTCTAATTTGGGGAGGGTAAGGGAAATAAGAAAATGCTGAAACAAGGATACAGGTTGACCCATTGTTACAATGAGATGTACAAGACACTATGTTGAAAATGAACTTTGCAACTTGGGAATGGTGAAGAGTTGGGGAGGTTGGGAGGGAAAAAATGGTAGGGGAAAAACAAAGGAGGAGGTAACAGTGCTCGATAGGAAATGTACTCATTACCTTACTCATGTAAGTGCAACCCCTCTGTACAGTATTTCTACAATAAAAATCATAAAAAAAGAACCACCAGTCTTGCAGGTGCCTGGGGCCTGGCTGCTAGTCCAAGGGTGTAAGTGAGAGGCTGCGTATTTAACAAAAGCCATTGACAAAAGCTCTGGGTCGGGGGAGGGAAGGGATCCTGGAAGAACAACAAGGGAAGGGACAATAATGCTCGACAAGAAATGTACTCATTGTCTTAGTCCTGTAACTGTAACCCGTCTGTACAGCATCTTTATAATAAAATAAATTTTTAAAAAGGGAATAATCAAACAGCCTGGCGCCGGTAGCTCACGGCTGTAATCCTAGCCACTGAGGAGGCTGAGATCTGAGGATCAAAGTTCAAAGTCAGCCTATACTGGAAACTCCGTGAGACTGTTATCTCCAATAAACCACTCAAAACAAAAAGCCGGAAGTGGCGCTGTGGCTCAAGTGGTAGAGCGCTAGCCTTGGGGTGAAGAGCTGAGGGACAGCACCCAGGCCCAGAGTTCAGGCCCCATGACCGACAAAAAAAATTAATTAAAATCTCTGCGTCAAGTAGAAGGCTGCTCAGACAGATTACTCCATCATGCCAGGGAAAAGTGACTCCGGTAGAACCAGAGCTGGGTGTGCATAGCACCTCATCTTACTGAGTGCTTCACAAAACAAAAGACACTTCATTATGAACAGGACAGACCGGAAGCAGAGGCAGCCAGAGGCACGCCCCAGTTGCCTTGGCTCCGTCAGGCTCTGCTGTTTTTCCCACGTGTGGTTGTGGCGCTTCCTTGTTCCTAAACGGCGCAAATACCAACTTTAGACTCACTTCCACCTACGTACCCAAGCCCTTCCACGGCTTCCCCGACTTTGGCAAAAGCTGAGCTTGTTCAAGGAGTTCACTGGCCTGGTGGCAGAGTAGGAGTGAGCAGCGAAGGCGGGGCCTGATAAGACTCCACCCACCGATTGGCTGGAGCAGACGGTGGGGCGGGTCTAGAGGTGGAGCCTGCGTGGCGCCTGCCAGCCTAGGCGCGCGGCCGAAGGTGGGGCGGGGCCGGTAGACTGTGGGCCCCCGCCAAGGCCGCCATTGTCGGGCCTGCCAGGCTGCTTCTACGCAACTGTCTTAACTCGCTCCGTCCGACTGAACGAGACCAGCAGCCCGACAGGCCCGCCTCCTTACCGAGCCCACGTCTCCCTACCGCCTTGGTGAGCCTGGTCTCCTGGACCACCCACTGGAGTGGCAGAAGTCCGGGAGAACCACTTGGACAACCCGGTCACGGAGGTGACTGTGAGCCCGACCGTGATCCGATTCGTTCCCAAGGCCCCTCCTGGTCAGGCAGGTACTGCCCTGGCGTTCCGGAGGAGCCTAGCCCGGCCGGATGTTTAGAGGACCAAGTCGTAACACCGATCGCGCTTGCCTCCCACCGGGGCTCAGCACAGCCTTGTCCCGGCACGCACCCAGACCTGCTCTTCTGCTTTATACCCCCTACACAGCTCACGGTCCCCAAACAGTGCACCTGCCGGCGGTCCCAACCAGCGGGGGAACTGGACATGAGGTTGGCAGGTTGGTGGCTTCCACAGACAACGGGAGGGAGGCCCTAGCGTTCTGACGTCTGCTAGGAGGGGCCGGGGTGGCCACTGGTATTGGTGCTGAAAATGGAGAACCGTACACAAACACGCATTCTCTGACCTTAAGCGAATCCTTCCACGGCTGAGGACTTCCGTGTCCCAAACTATAAGATGTGTGTTACTGTTGTTCCCCTAACTGAGATAACAGGCTGCTGCTTTTTGAAAAATGTTGTGACAGAGGCTCCAGGGACCATGGCGGCTAGGTGGGGAGGGTAACAGCAGGGACACGCATGGTCTTTGAGAGGAACTGACAAAGGTGCTTCTAGAGTTGGATTTGAAGCAATAACAGCGGGACGACTAAGACGAACATGCCTTCTTAGGAAGGAGCTCACATTTGTAATCTTAGCTACTTAAAGAGGCAGAGATCTGAGGATCTAAGTGATCCCGGTTCAAGGCCAGCCTTCGCGGGGCACAGTGACACACACCTGTCATCTCCAGTGGCATAGGGAAGCACAACTAAGAGGATCACAGTCCAAGCATAAAGAAAGACCCGACCTCAAAAGTAACCAATGCAAAAAGAGTCTGCACTCATGCTTGAAGTGCTAGTGCACCTACCTGGCACATCACATAGAGATGCCTTGTGGGGAAGGAAAGGAGTCCTAGTGGAGGGAGACACTGGGGTGAGATGGAGAGAAGAACTTGAGAACTGAAGTTCAAACCTACTAAAATAGCCACTTGATAGACCTAAGTGGAACTGTGCAGTGAGGAACGTTTTGGAAGGGGGTGATTGGCTGCAGCTAGAAACTAAGGTATTATTGCTATGTGCTGCTTAGTTTAAGATCTGGAGTACACAGAAGTGGAGAGGTGGCTCAAGTAGTAGACCAGTAAAAATGCTCAGGAACCGTGCTCATACCCTGAGTTCAAGCCCCAGGACTAGCACACACACACAAGATCTGGAATAGATGAAATTTTACCTATAAACAGAGTCTAGAGATAAGAAGGCACCCGGGAATAGAAGCCCAGAACGGTCCAGCTTTAAAGGGGAAGGTAGGACTGGGAATGTGGCTCAGTGGTAGAGTGTTTACCTAACATGCATGAAGCCCTGCGTTCCATTCCTCAGTACCACATAAACACAAAAAGCTGGAAGTGGCGCTGTGGCTCAAGTGGTAGAGTGCTAGTCTTGAGCAAAAGAAGCTCAAGGACAATGCAGTCCCTGAGTTCAAACCCCAGGACTGGCAAACAAAGGGGGGGGGGCGGGTAGAAGAAGACCATTTGGCCAAGGAGAAGGCAGGCTACTCAGAGGTGAAATGTTTCCATCAGGCAAGCATGGAAAGCCAGACTGAGAGCCTTGACGGAGGTCAAGGAATATGAGGGCCAACAGGCTACTGTAGGCATGACATTATAGCCACCATGAGGAATGGAGGGAGAGAGAGAGAAGGGTCCTCATTACAAGAAATCTGACAAGGGAGGGGAAGTCAGGTTCAAACTTTCTGAACAAGAGGAGAGGAGGTGCAAATAGATGACACACAATATATTGCCAGTTGTGAGAGGAGTTCTAGGGATGTGCTTGTGGAGTAGTGGGTTATCCAAATCCCCTGGAAACCTTCCAGGGAGAACAAAATGGCAGCCTTGGGGTTAGAACTCAGTTTCCTCCCTCTACTTGCCAAGGGACTGTCGTCGGGCCTGCTGAGTGGTGATGGGTCCCCACCAGCCCATCCTCCCATCAGTTCTTCCCAAGTGGAAGGGGCTATGTGGTCGGAGAGGCCATGGGATCATTCTTGAGTTCGATGACAGGCATTTGAGGTGGGCCTGCCCTGTGTCTGTCCTGCCTACAGGCCCACTCCGCATCGTGGCCCTCGTCATCACTGTGGGGCTCACCTGGATCGTAGTCGCCATTCTCCTGGGTGGGCCTGGTGGTGGCTTCCCTCGCATCCAGCAACTCTTCACCAGTGAGTGTGGGGCTCTCTGTTGCCTGGCTGCAGAGTTCCCCGTGTTGACTGTGGGACTGCTACCCACAGTGGCGTGGGGGTGGCTTGGTTTTCCATAGCCTTCCTGTGGCAGGCTACCTCTGGCTTCCCTTAACCTATTTCCTGACACCAACTGTAGCCATCTCCTACCAACCAGCTGCTCTGGCTAGGAAGCAACAATCCCTAATTTCACTCCTCTACTAGATGGAAGTCAGTAGGGTCAGAGAAAGAGGTGGGGGCCCCCTGCTGGAAACAGTGCCCTGTGAGCTTGCTGCTGGGCTCTGGGATGGGGAGGGGACTCTATCCCCTGTGACAGGCAATGGGTCATGGAGGTCATGGTTATGAATCCAATGCACCCCTTTCCTTCAGCAAGCAGTGTGGATCTAAACTCCAGATAGACAAGCTGACAGGCATTCTTCCTTAGCTCCTTGACCCCAGAACCTGACTGCCTTGTTGCAGGCTCCATGGGGCATCCACACTAACACAAACAACTCTGTTTCCACAGGCCCAGAGAACTCAGTGACTGCAGGTAAGCTCGGGTCACTTCCCTGCCTCGCCTCTGTGCCCACCCCTCATGCTGCCTTGTGGCACCTACCGGCCTGCAGTCCCTCAGGATTTCTGTTCTTCACCCATACTTCCCTATACTAGCCATCTTAGCTTGCTTGGCTGTGAGCCTTGTAAATGAGTTACCTTTTGTCAGGATGCAGTGAGGAGATAGGTAAAGGGTCAACATTCCCATTCCAAAAGGGAGGAAAATAGAGCCAGGAGCCAGAGACTCATGCCGGTAATCCCAACTTCTCTGGAGACTGAGATCTGAGGATTATAGTTCAAAGCCCCTGCCCTTGTAGAAAAGCTTATGGCTTTTTGTTTGTTTGTTTGTTTGTTTTGTCAATCTTAGGGTTTGAACTCAGGGCCCTGGGCAATGTCCTTGAGCTTCTTTAGCTTAAGGCTAGCACTCTACCACTTGAGTCACTGCATCACTTCTGGATTTTTCTGTTTATGTGGTACTGAGGAACTGAACTCAGGGCTTCATGCATGCTAGGCAAGCATTCTACCTCTAAGCCACATTCCCAGCCTGGCAGGAAAGTTTACGAGACTCTAAACTAATCACCAAAAATCTGGAAGTGGAACTATGGCTCAAATGATATAATGATAGCCTTGACTAAAAAACTTAAGCAAAGCTGGGTGCGGGTGGCTCACGCTTGTAATCCTACTATTCTCCTCTGGAGGCTGAGATCTGAGGATCATGGTTCAAAACCATCCCGGGCAGAAAAATCCGTGAGACTCCGATCTCCAATAAGTCACTACAAAACCAGAAGTGGCGCTGTGGCTCAAGAGGTAGAGTGCTGACCTTGAGCTGAAGAGCGCAGGGACAGCACCTAGACCCAGAGTTCAAGCCCCACGACCGACCAAAAAAAAGTTAAGCAAGACATGTCCTGAGTTCAAATCCCAGTACTAGCATACACAAAAAGGGAGGAGAGAAAACAAGAAAGTCACGAACAAGTCCAAAACCCATCAGTGACAACTCCTTTCAGTTTCAGAGCCTGAGAATAATTCTTTGTGGCCTGATTCTCCTCTCTGGGCCCACTGAGGGGACCCCAGCCTCTACCGTAACACGTGTTCTCACTCTCTGGCTTCTACCTCCCTTACTCTACCTTCAGAACCACCCTGCTTCCTTTAGCTCATCTCTGTCCCTTCTAGTACAAGCTGACCATGTTTCTTTTCCTTTTCTTGTGTGTGTGTGTATGTGTGTGTGTGTGCGTGTGTGCGCGCGCGCTAGTCCTGTAGCTTCAACTCAGGGCCTGGGCACTGTCCTTGAGCTTTTTTGCTCAAGTCTACCACTCTACCACTTGAGCCATAGCTCCACTTTTGACTTTTTGGTAGTTAATTGGAGATGAGTCTCATAGACTTTTCTGTCTAGGCTGGCTTCAAACCACCATCCTCAGATCTCAGCCTCCTGAGTAGCTAGGATTACAGTGTGAACCACTCGCTCCCAGCCCTGACTTGGGGGGATTCTTGTTTCCTTGATAAAGGCCCAAGCTACAAGGCAAGAAAGTCCTCTTCAGATCCTGCCTGTTTAACCCCATCTCAGGTCCAAGCTTGTGAGAGGGTGGAATGCACTCAGAAATCACATACTTCCTCTCTAGCCAGCCACACCCACTGTGTTCTCTCTAGAGAGCACTCTAATTTTTTTGCATTATGATTAGCGTGAGATTTTTTAAATCATCACATTCTGCTCCCTTCATCCTGATGGTTCTTTGCTCCATTTCTCTCTATTCTCATGTCCTACCACAGCAGCAACGAGAAGCCAGGCCATGCCTTTAACATTGGGCTCAGAAATCTCTTCAAATTCAATGTGTGTGGGTGTGTGCATGTGCGTGTGCAT